CTTAAATAGGAGGAATGTCAAAAAACGGTATAAATTCTAATTCCTCTAATTAAAGAAGTTTAATTAAATTGAAACTTCATTTAGGTTGAAGTTTCCGTTGGAAACAGCTGTGCTAAGTTGTGCAGTTTCCTGACAAGCTAAAGCAAGTGAAACCACTTTGCTGTCTTGAGTCTCGGCAGCCAAGGAGCTGGATTCTTTTTGCAACAACCTCCAATCTGCTCAGGTCCCTCTGGGCCCACGAAGGTCTCTCAAAGTCAGATCAACAAAAAGACTGCTCAACTCTACACTCTGAGGCAGCACACATGACATTGTGTATTTCCTTCAATAGCTAACATCTTCTTGGGCACACGGTATCTGTAAAACATCACTTGCTTTATCCCTACATATGGCACACACATACCAATTTCCTGGATGAAGCAGTTAGCATTTTTTTTTAACCTGTGAGGTCACTCCAAATAGCTACCCTGGTTGGCAGGTGCAGAAATTAGGCAATGTGTGCAGTCAGAGGCTTACAGGTGTGGCAGTTCTGCCCCAGAGACCTTCCCCCTCACCACTCATCTTCCAAATAAACGCCACCCTAGGTGCTGTGGCTTGGCCGCGGGGAGACAGTGAAAGAGGATTGGGGTCTAAAAAAAATAATACGGGATGATTCAACTCCATCCCAATACTAACAAAAATGCCAGAAAACTATGGTGCCTCTTTCTAAAAGTTAACATTCCAAATGGCAGTTTGGGGAGGGAATCCTCTCTTTGACCCTCTAGCAAAATCTGTAAGCAAGCAAATGTGAGGAGGATATGGAAGGCAGTGTTCTGGATTTAGGCCCAAACATTTAAATGACAGCATTAAGTAACAGTTTTTGTGATACCAGAAATATAGTCTTTCCTTCCTTCCTTACAGTTTCCACAAGACCTGCAATTGCAAAAACAAAAGGTACAGGTGCCCTTCTAACGATCTGCTCCAGAGAAGTCTGAACTAATTAGGGGGGCAGGGAAAGACACCCATCAGCTGCCCCATAAGAGGCCTGCAAGTTTGTGGGCAACTCTGACTGCAGCCAGGTGGAAGGCACAGGAGGGGAGCCGTTTCCCATGTGGGTCTGAAGTCTTGGAGGGAATGCCTTCTTTTAGCTGCCAAGGCAGAGTAGTCCGGATGAGGCGAAATGCACAGCTGGCCTCTCAGCTTGTTACGACTGGAGCACTCAACATTAGGAACGGGGCCAGAGCTGGCAGAGAAAGCCTCTTCCCTGAGCACTGGACAGGAAAAGCAAGTTATCATCCCTTCCGTCCCTGGACACCATGCTGCTGGCAATGTCCTCCCATGGCCTCCTTACCAATCGGAATCCTCCTCACCCTTCAAGGCTCTGCTCAAATTTCACCTCCTCTGTGAAGCCACGGCTCCTCCCAAACTTGCACCTCATTCTATGCTCTTCTCTGTTTTAGACTTGTATCACTCCTCCTAGACTGTGAGTTCCCGGTGGGCAGAGGCCGTACCTTCCATCCTTAATTCCGACAGCAATCGGCATAGAGCTAGATGATCGAAACGGGAAGAGACGTGGAGTAGGACAGATTGGCAGGAGAGGAGGATACGATGATGGCAAGAAAACCTTCCCATTCTACATAAAGCTCATGTGAGCCCACAGAAGTAAAACTCCACTTCCTCTTCCACCTCTTAAAATAGATCATTTTGTACTGCGCCAGCAAAACCTGCAGGAGTGTGAGTGTCACACGCTGTCACTGATTTCACACTGAGGCTGTGAGTAAGCTCGATCAGTGAATCAGAGGTAGCAGAGCCATGCAAGGACCCCTGCCTGAAGTGTGGTCTCTGGTTAGCCAGGTCAAACCCAGACTTCGAGCCTTTCCTTGACGCTCTCCAAGAAAAGAGTCACACCCTCTGCAAGTCACTTGTCCTATCATTAAACAATTCATTCTGCTGGAAAGTTCTTGACGAAACAGGTGGCTCCTTATACACTAAGAAGGGTCCCCAGGATTCCACCAGCTTTAGAAAATCTCATTATTATATGCTTCTTGTTTCTTCCCAGCTTGACATGGTCCCGATGTTCATGTCTCCCACTTGACAAGCCCACCATTAGCATGGATAGTGCGTTTTACACAAAGATGAGCACCTGCGTTTCTCTGCTCACCTCTGGGCCCCTGCTCCGTGAGGCAGAGGTAAGGCTGTGAGGACCCCGATCTCTAAGATTCTTGCACAATGACCCTAAATAGTTTAACCTGGGACATCTTAGCTCTAGTTTGCTTTAAAAGACTTCAGACAATTTTTAAACTGACCTTTTCAATCGCTTGGAGAGTTCTGGGAACTTCAGAATGCTCTTTTGGGGTGATCCCACATCGAGATTTCACAAAAACAAAGCTAGAAACTCCTAGTATCGATATGTTCTACCCAGATAATTATGCCCATAAGGATGCAACTCCTTGCTCATATCTGGAGGAGTAATAAACATTTTATTAAATGCTTAAGTGCCCAGCACTGTGCTGAGGACTTCAGATGCATTATCCCATTCATACAACCACCTATAGAGTAAGTACAATCATTCTACTTAACCGTAAGGGAACCGGGCTCAGGGAGATGCATCTACTCGCCTGAGGCTACCCAGCCAAGCAGTATGGGAGCTGACTCTGGAATCCAGGCCTGACTCCAAAGCCCAGAGTTCAACCAGTGGACCCCTGTGGCTCTAGCCCAGGCCATAGTTTTGCAGTCTGGACATTTATTTGCAAGCTAGAGAGAGCAGGGAGCAGTTTCACACCAGGCCTCAGGTCTAGGCCCACCCCTGGGGTGGGGGGCAGTCCCATAGGACCCACCCTCTACCTTACTCCTCCAATAAACCTGTTTGGATGGCAAGACCTCACTGATGTGAGCAGTAAGATGCTTGGCCACAACTGCCTAGTGGAGGAAGACGGGTGGTTCTAGTCCTAACTCAGCCACCAACCAGCTGGTGACCTTGAGCAGTTCACTTCCTCTCTGGGTCTCATTTGTGAAAGCCCATTTTACATCATGACGCACCCATACCTATATGCAACACTGCAGTCAGGTCATGCCACAATGCCCTTTCTACCACAAATTGCCATCTTATATTTTCCAACAAGTTATTTTATTAAAAAAACAAGATATTGGTCACAACCCACTGACTCACTAACGCACCACGATGCCGTTTTGAGAAACAGTGGACTAAAGGTGGTGGACTAAAGAAACCTTTCCGGGAGCTCAGCAGATGGAAGAGCCGGGAGCAGGAGTGGAGCCCAGCTGCCTATGGAACACGGTTTGAAAATCAGCGGCTCAGCAGCTCCCTAAGGTCTCTGTCAAGCTCTTAAATTGAATGAACTAGGCCTGATCGGAACCCTGTGCTTGGAGCAGTCACTGAAAGGCGATCTAATGGCCAGACTATAGTACTTTGAACTCAAAACTGAACTACTGTGCCCATGGCCTGAGCCCCATTCCCTCAATACAAAGGCTGATGCTGGACACCACAGGGCGGACAGGACAAAGGAATGCACAGCCTTCATCTAAGAAGTACAAACATGGCCCACCTCATTAATAGTGGAGTTGTCAGCTATTTGTCTTCAGACTCTAAGGTCAAAAAATGAGATGGAGCCCCAGGATACTCCCTGTCTTTCTTCTAAATAGGGAGAGATGTGGTTGAAAAGAAAATAATAGCCTTCAGTCCTGGCTAGAGCAGATCAATCTGAACGATGCTTGAACTGCTGGGTTTTGAAAAGCTGCCTAGATGTTGAAGATTAGTGACAGTTTTTGTACTTTCCAGGTCAAACGCAAATTCCTAATTCCATCAGCAACTTCCTCCCCAGGCCTAACATTTGGGAACTGTTGATGGTTAAGTTGTTTCTGGGTAATTAACCACTGCAATTGAAGCGGTTCTTCAACTGCAGTAGGAAAGAGCTAGGTGGAGAGATGGCAGGGAGGAGGGGAGGCCTGTAGTGCATCTCCTCCGCCCCATTTCTGGCTCCCTCTGCTTCCTGATACATACGAGACTTCCTCAGATAGGAGGTCCCTGACGGCTCTGTGCAGCTCCAATTCATGGCAGAGATGTCTAGCCTATGTGACACTGGTACGCAGTATGATTTCACGAGAGCTAGTTGGTCACCATCCACCCCCCCACTCCTATTTCAGGCAAGTGTCCAGAGGAGATCCAGAGTCTTGTCATAGCTTCAACAGATGCTGGTGTGACTCAATGGCTTATCCACAATGCAAGTTAGATCACAATAGCTGTATTTTAACTCAAAGAAATTGTACTTTCCACTATAGATTTGATTCTATACTAAGAAGCAAAGGGGTGCATTGACAGATGAATAGGTAAACAAAATGTGGTATATACATACGATGGAATATTATTCAGCCTTAAAAAGGAAGGAAATTCTGACACATGCTACAACATGGATGAACCTTGAAGACATTATTCTAACTGAAACAAGCCAGATACAAAAAGACAAATAGTGTATGATTCCACTTATATGATGTAGTTAGAGCCATCAAACTCATAGGGACAGAAAGCAGAATGGGGATTCTCAGGGGCTGGAGGGTGGAGGGAATGAGGAGCAGTGTTTAACAGATATGGAGTTTCAGTTTGGCAAGATGAAAAGAGTTCTGGAGATGGATCATGGTGATGGTTGCACAATGACATGAATGTACTTAATACCACCAAACTGTATTTAAAAATGATTAAACGGTAAATATTATTATTTTACCACAATAAAAAAGTGGAGAAAAAATAAAGGTAAAGGGGATGAGGTGGGAGTTAAGCAAAGGAGAAACCTCTTTTGCAACTCTAGCTAGCTCATCACCCACACCAACGCCAATTTGGAATTTGAAAAGCTGCCCCAGAGAATGTCACTGTTGACTCCCACACTTCTCAGACCAAACTGACATTCTCACATCCACCAGCATCCTGCTTGGGCCCTCAGTGTTGGGAAGTTCTTTGGAGGATCCCTCCCTGGCTGACAGCACATAGGAGGGTTCCCTGGGGAGGCAGACTCTGGCTGCTGCTGGAGGGCGCGGCTGGTGGGCACATTACCTGGACGGGTAGCCGGCTGCACTGATTCGGATCGTCTCCAACACCCCGCATGCTCTGAGCTGCTGCACTGCTCTCTTTGGGTCAAAGCTGCGAAACAACAAGAAAAGCAATGAGTGGCCATGCTGGCAAAGAAACACAGCAGGAGAGAGGGAAGGATGACCCCTTCCTGCACCGAGGTACAGACCGACGTGCACCCTTGAGCTCCAGGTCAGGGACCAAGCAGAGACTAAAAGACATCGATAGGCAGGCACACAAGCCACTTCAGCATCTCTGTTCTGTGCACATTCTTATTGTCACCTGGATACTCCTCCTCTGCTTTGCCTACCTGAACTCTGCCCACCCTCCAAGACTCATTCTTGCCTCCTTTCCAGAGCTGTCCCTGCTTATCTCCACCCACAGGGGCATCTACCTTAATTCAGTGGCCAAATTGTATACGGTTGGCACCACAAGCATTGTTTGTCTCAGGAGTTAAAAGGGTGAGTGTTTCAGGCCAGGCAGATCTGGGTTTGAATTGTGACGTGGTCATGTACCAGCTGCGTGTGTAATTTGGGGAAGTAACATAACCTCCTTGGGCCTTGGTATCTTCGTCTATAAAACGGGGATAATAATAGGATCCCTTTTATAGGGTCAGTGTGAAGATTAAATGTAATGGCCCATGAGAGCAGTTACCACAGCGCCTGGTACAAGCACATGTATTGTCAGCTATGATCATGACAGCTGCTCAGTTAAGAAGTGAAGTTTATCTTCCCATCTTTAGAGATATGAGCCATGTCTTCAACAACTCACGTGCCCTAAAATGCTAAGTTTAGCGCTGAAAACCCAGTATTTATTCAAATATATATACTGAGTAGGATAATGTAGAATAAAAAGTCAGACACAGTCTGGGCTTTCTAAGAGTATCCACACTTGCAGAGTTGAAAAGTGTATAGAAGTGGTATACTACAAGGCAGTACGTGACAAACACAGTAAAAGTGCTGAAAGAAACCAGAGGGAAAGATGGCAGGTTGGCTGGAGTCACCAGGAAGTCTTCACAGAGAAAGAATTATGCTGAATTAGAATTGATCACTATTCATAATTTGCTAAGACTACTGCCCCATTCGGTGAGAAAGGGATGAGAAATAAATGCTCCTTTTCTTTTTGGCTGTTCTACAGCCCAAGCTAAGGCCAAGGAGCCATGCCTCTTTTGCTCGTTCCACTCTGGGAAGTGGGAGGGCATGGGGTGAGGCCCACCTGGCTTACTCTCACATCTTTGGGATTATACTGGCTCCAGCACACACCTTGGTTGGACAGTCAGGCAGCCTGCTTGCCCTGCTGGATAAATGCAGTTGACAGCTTCTTTACCTCCAGGATCCACAATGGCCAGTGGGCAACCTCTCACCACACTAGTCTGCCACCCTCCCTGACAACCCCAGGTCTCCTTTTCCCAGCAGCTGGGCCCATTCAGGATTCTGGAACTCTGCAGGAAGAATCTGGTCTGGTGTCTGCCACTCTCAATTCATCTCTCTCCATCAGAGACTCCCTCTCTGTCCTCCCATGGCTCTGTACGACCCGTCTAGCCCTGAGTCCTCGTGGCTCTCTCATGCACAGTTGCACTTGGGCCAGGAACCCAGAAGCCCATGAAGGCAGATGGTGCCCTGGAAAGGCCTGGGTCAGCAAGCATTTGGCAGTAGGAAAGCAGTGGGCAGGTTCCAGAGACTGAAGACCATGAGCTAACCTTAATTCCAGGCACCCTCTGCATTCCACGTCAGTCCTGGGGCTCAGTGTCCCAGGAGACACCCACATTCTCCAGGCCTGTGCTCGCTTTGACTTCCTCATGTCTCCCACTGCCTGCCCAGGTCCTGCCTTCTTTGGACACCCAGCTCCTCCATAAAGTCTTCCTGGTTACTCCAGCCCCAAGACGCTACGGCACTTGGAATGTGTAAGGCACAACTGAGCACTGAATTCTGCAGAGTCCTGAATAAGAGGGTTACTTCAGAGGAGTTAATGTCATCTTTCTAAGTAGAGAAAAAGCTCCAAATAGGTCTATACAGGATGAGAGGAAACAGAAGGAAACACACGTGCTGAGACTTTGCTGTGGGCTGCAGCCTTTCACTCTGCCATCCCCTTAGTAGTTGTTCTGAGGCCTCCCCAGGATGCCAGCTCAGTTCTGGGATCCAAGGAGAACATTACTAATATGCGGTGGCAGCGATCAGTCTCATAAGAAGCTCCTTAGGACATAAAGGCTGCTTGTGACCTCGAGTGACCCGAGGAGCCTTTGGGAGGTAGGCCATGCTGTTTACGGTTTTGCTCCTCTCTTCTCTAAGGCGTGTCAGTTGGGCCCTGAGTTACGAACGCAAAGTCAATGTGATAGGGCTTTGGGAAAGGTTTTCTGCGGCCTGCAGGCTTCTCCCTCAAGGCACTCTGCACCTGATGGCAGCAGCCGTGTTTCCCAGGCTGGCTATCAGCTTCTTCCCTCTGTTTGGCACAACTACAGGGTCAAATTCAATCCACTGCACATGGTGGGGATGGGCAGCGTGCTTGGCAAGTATCTGTGACCTCCAGTCCTTTGAGGGCTGTGGGTCTCGCTAGGGTCCCTACTTCCTCCAGGACCAACACTGCTTCCTTGGTGGAAAAATTAGCTGATTCACCCTGAGAGACCCTTCCCTCCTTTAAAGGACTGTTACTCTTCCAGCACACCTGTCTCTCTCTGCTCTGGTACCCCTGTATCAGGACTGTGACCACTGGGCACCTAGCTCTGCACTGGGGCCTGTCTAACAGCCAGATGTGGCTTGCTGAGTGTAAGCCCCCCACTCCCATGCAGTGTAGTCTAAGTTCTTTGGGGGGACGTGTTGTCTCAGTCTTCTTGTGGAACCTCCACCCACCAGGGTGGTCCCATGGAAGGCATTTGGCAAATAATTGTTGAACTCAGCTTTAACATTCTTCCCAGCTTCTTGATGACCTCAACAAAATCATTTCCTTCCTTGCACATTCTCTTCCACTGTGGGGGCTGGGGGGAATGAGCAAGGATGCAGTGGAGAAGTTGGTCTGGCCTTAGCTCTGCCACTAACAGCTAGTATTGCTTTGGGCAAAACACAATCTCTCTGTAACTCATTTTCCTCATTCATTCAATGGGAGCTGAGAATATCTCTCCATCTATAATTCACTGGTTTCTTATAATGATCAAATGATGTAAGAGAGGCATGCTCTCAGAACAAAAAGACACTATACAAAGAAGTTACTGCCATCATCTTTCCATGTTCACACCCCCCAGGGGGAAAGTAAACCCAGCCAGTCTTCTGTATTTTAATCTTATCTCCTCACTAGTAAAGAAAACTCACTGTCAAATGCACCTCTCAACCCGCCTCCCTGCATTGGTTGTCAGTCGGCTGGGAGCAAAAATCGCCCTTCCACCTACTAAATTTTGGAGGACCATGGTGCAGACAGGCAACATCTAAGTCTGGACTGAAAAATTACCAAAGATATATAGGGCCAAACTGCTGAAATCCAGGTTTATACTTTCCCCTCCCAATAAAATACAGGTTCAGCAGAGCTGGGAGCTTGCGGGACGCAGAGTGAGAATCCCATAGCGTTAGAACTGGGCTCTGCGTCAGCAGTCACGCGCCACTTAACTGATTTTCTGCAGAGGCTGCAAGCTCCCCACCCACTTCTTTGGGCTCTGTGGCATTCTGCAGTCTCACTTCAGGACCCTGAGACTCTCAGGATGGCCCCTTCCGAGACCAGTGGACTGGCCTTCAGGAGACCTCTCCAGTTCCTCCTACAAAGCATCCCAGATTATCACACTTGCCCCAGGTCACCTCCTCCCTGGATACTTAATCGCTCTTTCACCTCTCTGCTCCCGCGGCACTTTTATAGACCCACTGACAGTCCCTTCTATGTTGTCATCAGTTATTTGTGACTGGCAACTCCTTAAGGAGCCTTATTGTCATTCCACCTGTCCTGGCCTAGTGCCCAGGGAGTAGTTGGTATGATAGATGGTTTCTGAATAAAGGAAGAAGCAGAGGGACAAAGACTTTTATACAAGAGATGCCATGAAAGCATTTAGTGTAGGACAGTGGCTCTCCACTGGGGGCGATTTTGTCCTTCAAGGAACATTTGGCAATGTCTTACAACATTTTTAGTTGTCACAACAGAGGGGATGCTACTAGCATCTAGTGGATAGAGGCCAGGGATGCTGCTAAGCTTCCTACAGTGCATAGGACAGCCCCACAACAAAGGACCACCTGGCCCAAAATGTCAAGAGTGTTGAGGTTAAGAAAGCCCAGTCGTAGGAGATGGGAGGAAAGATACAGCACTTCCTTTCTAGAATGTCAACATTATATATTTTAATCATATAAACTTGTATTCTTCTCCCAGATAATCCCCATTCATTATCTCCTTGAATTCTTCCATCAAGATAATTAGTTTTTAACCACAATTAACAGATGAAGAAATGAGACAATGAGGGTAAAGGACTAGCTTGGGTTTAGCCAAACACTTGGCAGCAGAACCCAGACTAGAATCCAGGTTTTCTGTCTTGGTTCAGTATTCTCCCCACTTTCTTTATTGGGAGGAAGATTTTGGTCCTGAAGGCAAAGGAGGGTCTTAGCAAAATGCAATTTTAGGACTAGAAAGTCCCCTTGAAAGTCCCCAGCATCTCCTCTCATTCGGGATGGGAAACCCGGCCAAGAGAATCTGGCACACGGCAGGCACCAGGTTCTGATGAACGAACTGCCCAAGGTCATGGATGGCTGGGCGCAGAGCTGGTACCCAGCCCTCGACTCTCCTCCCCCTGGGCCAGCACATCGCTCCTGCCCTTCACACATAATCTAAGTCTTTCACATATGCTGCTTTTCGAACAGTCTCTTTTCTTCTGGAGGCAGCTGGTAAACAGATGCCACATGGGGGGAATTCCTAAGCATGTCTCAGAAACCTGAAGGAAGAGAAAAGACTGAATAATCAGCATGCTTCAAAGAAGGCTGATTCAATATTGTCTTCCTAACCTTTTCCAGCACAAGGCCCATCTGAGTGGATGTCAAGCTTCATTAAATGATAGGAACTGGAGAGGGCAGTTCAGATATTCATTCTGAGAGTCAGAGTTGCCAAAATAAATTATTTCACAGGAAGAAATTATGCCAGGACCAAAAAGGAAATCGGAAAGATGGAAATAAAGTGCTTAAAAAATTTAAAAATATAAGTCCTCAGGCCAGCGGGAATGGCATGTGTGGAAGCTCAGGGAATTGGAAGAAGAGGCTGCAAAGGTAAGTAGCAGACTGTTCTAAAGGTTTAGGGCAGTATTCTAGGCAAGAAATGAAGAGAGTCTGAAACAAGTGATAGTAGAAGGAAGAGAAAAGGGAGAGCAGTGTGAGAAACTTCCAAGTGGACTCCATGGGACTTTGACAATGATTGGACACTGGGGAGTAAGGGAGAAGGAAGAACCAAGGGTTATGTGGTCCAATATGGTAGACATTAGCCACCTATGGGGATGTGAATGCAATTAAAGTGAAATTAAGAATTCAGTTCCTCGGTCACATGAGCCACATTCCAAACACTCGATAGCCACACGTGACTCATGGCTACATGTTGGATAAATGCATATTATAGAAGAGTTCCATCATCACAGAAAGTTCTATTGGACACCACTGGTCCAGAGCGATTCTCAGGTTTCTGGTTTGGAAGATCAGATTTGGTGGGTGGATGAGATGTTAGGGAATGGTTATGCCATTTACTACAAGAGAGACCAAACAAAGAGGAACCATTTTGGGGGGTAAAAAGATGAGGAGTCTGGTTTCAGACATGTTGAATGTGAGTTGGCCAATGAAGCTACAGTAGGCATACAGAAACAGTGGCCTGGAATTTGGCAGAAATCAGAGATGGACAAAGATACTGAAGTACCAGTATTTTATAGATTTAGGTGAGCTCTACCATGGGAGCATAGCTAGAACTGGAAGAAAATTTTGAAGGTAAGAGTAGTGGCAGAATTTGGATCCAAGTGGGCTGAAGAGTGAGGGGAAGGTGAGCAAGTGTGGATCACTCTGGAAGCTCAGCGGTAGAGGGGATGTGGAAATAGAACCATCCACATGTCTTATCACTCAACGCGTCATTTGAGATCAAGTTTCCTCAATGCAAAAAGCCCTCCCTGGCCAATCCAGCAACTCTCCCGTCTTTGAATTAAACATTTGCTGTGGGACGCACTCACACCTGCATTTAATGGCACACTCTTATGTGGTCCTCTATTTGATCCAAGTGTGCACATTCCTCAACACCACCATAAGCAACATGGGACGGGGAAGTAGATTTTCTCATCCTCTTGAATCCTCTGGACAGCAGACAGGCGGAACCTGGTAAATGTCTGTGGGCTGTATTCAGTGTATAAACCATTTGGGGAGTGTAAGAGCAATTACTCATCATGCTGAAGACCGCAGACCCCTGTGAGACTGTGCCTGTCCCTGTTCCCCCTGAACTTCCAAGGAAACATGTAAAGGCTGGGCTTGACCAGCCCAACCCCAGCAGAAAGGAGCCTGGCTAACACTCGCACAGGCACTTACTGGAAGGGGAGCTTCTTGTCGTTTGGTTTAACGCAGCGGACATAGTGCGGCGTTGTGGCGTTCAGGGTCTCCATGAGAAGATGCAGGGATGTGCGGAACTGGGGAGACAAAAGTCAGTGCCTGGTTATGTGTTTAACATTTTGTGGATGTATAATAAACATAAAGAAATGCCCATAGACTGGTAGAAGCATTCGTTGTCACTATTATTATTTTGATTATTATTGTTAATCCAGAAGGATGGGAAGAAATTCAGGGACCTGCTCTGACACTACCACCTTGCCAGATGACCAAAATCAAGCCCCTCCTGTATTCTGGTCTCAGGTCTCCTCAAATCAAATTGGGGAGAGACTAGTGCTTAATGTGTCTAACTCAGTGCTGTGGATCAAATAAGATGAAAGGCGAGCAAGTGCTACGAGATAGGAGAAAGATAATCATTGTGATCAGAGCCTGTTCTTGAACCTGAGGCCCTGGAGCCTTGGCATCCAGTGCCAGGCATCCTGGAAATCATTACATTAATGAGAAATGTCCCGAATAGGCAAATTCACAGAAATAGAAAAGTTACTGGTCACCAGGGGCTTGGCACACACTCTCTTCTCTTGGGAGACACATTGGACATAAAGTCCCATGAAGATGCCACAGCAGAAGTTGTTTCTCAGTTTTCTGGTCCCCAGGCTTATTTAGGCCACCTCTCCACCCTGCAGACTTCTAGACCCTCTTGCCTCTCCCACAAGGTGACTATGGTCTCCTAACATGGTCCTGCCATGGGATTAAATGCACTGTTTGGGGCTACAGCCATCTCCCCTCTTTCTCCTGTCAGTTCCCTCTAGAGAAGTTTTTGGGGTTTCCTTCTTCAAAGAACACAGAAGGATTGAGCTGGGTGGCTGGGGCTGCAGATGCTGAGGTGACTGTGGCCTCCCCCTGACTCTGCAGCCATCCTTCATCTAGAGAGAGGCCAGCCCTGCCACATGTGCCACAGCCTGCAGCTTCCTGCCACGAGGCCTGGGGCTGACCTGGTGGCCCACGGTTTTCTTGTGCTCCTTGTTGGGGGCTTTCAGGGGGGGTCTGGAGGAGCGAATGTTGATCTTTGAAGATGAGCTCTTCCCAGATGTGGTGGAGGCAGGAACAGAATCCTTGTCATCATGAAACAAGTCAGCCACTAGTGGGAACTAGAAAGAAACATACAAAGAATTATGCAAACAAGATCTCTTGCCCTTTATGTTGCTTAAACTCTTTCAAAGTAGCTTTCCAATATATACCCAAGAGAATTGAAAACACATGTCCCCACAAAAACTTGTACGCCAATGTCCATAGTAACATTATTCATAATATACACAAAGTGGAAACAAGCCATTGATGAGGGCTGAGGAGAGAATTAAAGAAGATAGCCCACGTAAGATAGAGTACGCAGCATATAATAAGCACTCAAACATCATCTAGTTCTATTGATTTTATTAGGGGGTATATACATGAAAAATGTCTAAACTGGAAAAGTACAGATGCCCAAGGAGGTTATATTTTTGAGCTGAAGAAGAAACTTAGAATCAACAAATTTTAAGTCTGGAAAAACTATAAAGATCAACTCTTCACGTGGCAGGTGAGGAAAGAGGAGCTCAGGGAGAAAGGACCTACCAGGATCCTGCTTCCACCTCCATTTGCCCAGCACCAGCCTGGTGGCCAGTACCAGCTCACCCAGGACTGCTGGTTAATGGCTAAGCCAGGGATAGAACCCTGGCCTCTGGATGACCAGGTCAGAGCTTGTTTCAATACACAAAGACACCCTGGTTATTTATGCCAGCAATATCAAGGAAGTGGAAACAAAAATGGGTTTAAGACACAGTCTATCTCTGAGGTATCTGCATAGCATCCTCCTTGTTGGAGGCTTTCATGTGTGTGTGTCGGGGGGAGGTTCTGGTGGATCCACTGTTGATTTTTTGAAGGTGACCCATTCTTAGATGTGATGGTAGCAAGAACAGGGTCCTTGTCATCATGAAAGGAGGAAGATTAACCACATAGAAGGGCACTTCATGAAACATTTCTCCAGCTGACAATATCCTCCGAAATTCACAGCAGGAGACTCAGGCTAAGGAAAACTCAAGGTGCAACATCACCTTCACGTAAGGCTACAGGTCCTAAATGGTGGTGACAGTCAGCTCATGCTCTGATACTCTTCTGCATTTAACTTCCTAGACCTTCCACAAGTTCAGTCCCAGTTTAATCGAGTGTTTCCTGAGCACCATGCCAATAGCTTGGGAAGTAAAAGAATCATCTAAAGGAGAGGTCTGAAATCCACAAGATAATTCAATGGCATACATCCACCAGTACTTCACATCAGTATTTCAGGGGTAGTCAAAAAGTCCCAGAAACATATCAACATTAGGCAACACATAGGGGCTTTTTCACTTTATAATCTATGGTAGGCCCTGGCTCATCCCCTCCTGCCATCAGAGATGCCTGATAGTGCGTGGTCATGATATCACCAGAAACATGTGATGTCTCAACATCAGTACACCACAAAGTCTGGAGAAAGGAGCAAGATGGTGCTAGTGGCCCAGTAAAACTGTTCCAGAACCTGGATGTTAGATCCAGGCGACTCAACTTACTCAAAGGCAGTTTCTGCAACCTCAGTAGGTAATATGCTTGAGTTGCCGGGTGATGGGACTGGTGGTATAAAACATGCGGTGACCATCCCATCCCCTTGGGACCTTTTGCCATTTGACCTCCCCCAGGACACACAGAGAACCATTGGCAATAATTTGAGGCCTTTTTCCATAAGAAACTAGGTAGACGCAGATGCGTGGCTCACTGAGCATCCCTCAGTCTGAAGACCTCTGATATTCTTTGCATATTAAGGTAACTTGCATGAATTTCATAGATCAAAGAATACTTTATAATCACAGAGGAGTGGAGCGAGTGTGCTCACCCCCATACACAAGGTTATGATGGCTAACGCTCAAAACCACCATCGAATGCTGGTTGAAATTATGGGTGTATCTTCTATATTAAGTATTTTAAACTAAAACAGAAGATACAAACAAATTACTTCCTCCTCCCTCACACTCTTAGGTATTACCCGTTTATATTTTTTAGGAGTTCAATTTTAGAGTCAAAAGTAATTGCACACCACAAGTCAGTATTTCGTTTTACACCACACATCAGCTGGCCGTACAGGTTACAAAGTAGCCCAGCAACTGCCTGTGCTTTGAGCGGTACAGCCACACCAGCCATCAGAGGCACCTGATTTCCAATTTTTACCACAGTGATCTACATGCAAAGAAAAGCTGTGGTTCTTTAGCTCCACAGTCTGGGTTTTAAGTTCAGTCTAAAAGCACCAATTAATGACCTTAAGGCCCATGACCATCTCTGGTGAATGACTCAAGTCCCTCCTCACTGCTGTCTGTTCTGTGGCTGGAATAGGCTGGTGACAGCATGAGAACACTAGGGAAAGCTACCATATTCCCAAGGAAAGCACCCCCTTGCCCCGACCCCTGCTACAGGGCCTTGTTGTCAGGCAGGTGACTTGCAGGGTCACCCTAACGAGATCACTGAGGACGTCTCCCAGTTTCAGCCGCCAGCAGGTGACCATTCTGTTCCTATTCCCAGCATCTTTGAAATGAACCCTCTTCCTCCTTTTCTCTCCATACTTGGTATTTCAAGTCATAAATATTGTCTTCCTAGAGTGGAAAGTAATTAGGCTGTCAGAGGAATAAAAGACTCGGATATAATTTTATAAATCTGTGGCTAAAATTTGCGTGTGTCAACATCATAAAATTGATACTTTTATTAGTTTCAATTCCATGTGTTTTCAAAGAGAAAGTAAATATTAGGTCACTGAATGTCAAGAAACTAGATTGACTGGTTCGTTCATTCGTTCACTCACCAATGCTTATTGACTGCTAAATACACAACAAATACCGTGCCAGGCTGGGAGTACAGAAGTGAACAAAAACAAGCACAGCCTCTGACACACCATGGAGTTTATGGTCTAGCACGAAAGGTGAACTCTAATTAATTAACCCCTCAATTAAAAGCATATGAGCATCCTAAAGGAAATAAGCAACAGCTAGACATGACTGAACCAGGAGCCCGGGTAGGGGGAATCAGGAAAGGATTTTCTTAGGAAGGGATGTTTGAGCTCGTGGGTTATTTGAGGAAAGCACATTATGGTGGGAAGTAATTGCACATTCAGAGAACTAATAAAAAGCCAGTGCAGCTACAGTATACACAGTGAGGGGGAAGCAAGAGGAACCAGCTCACGCAGGACCTTGGTTGAGGATTCTGGTCTTTATCCTAAGAGCAATGTGAAGCCATTAAGGGTTTTTAAAAAATAAGAGGAGCTAATATTTATTGAGCACTTAGAATGTGCCAGGCACATATGAACTCATTCAATTCGCCCAATAACCACGTGGTGTAAGTATCATTACACCCCATTTTACACATGGGGAAACTGAGGCTGGGGGTACAAGATCAGAGCAATAATTTAGACCCAGACAGCCTGACTTCAGAGCCCAAGCAACAATATGACACAGAGGGGAGCAATGGCTAGTGACCTTTAGGAAAAGACCATTCTGGCTGCAGCCAAATGAAGAGGCTCAAGTCCACTGCATGTGAAGTGCTGCAAGAGGCACCTAGAAGAGTTCAGAGAGACTAGGAGAGCTTAGAACTCAGCTGATCTCTAGGAGGTGAGGTGGCAGAGTCAAAAGGGCACTAAGCTAGGGCCAGGAGACCTGATTTTTAGATGTGACTCTGCCACTTAATCAGCTGTGTGACCCATGGCAAACCTCTTAACCTTACTAGATTTCAATGTTCTCATCTGCAAAAGTGAGGGAATTGAATGAGATGATTTCTTTAAACCCCTGCCTGACCTAGACTCCTGCATTTTCTCCTAGCTTTCACCTCTCCCTGTTCACTGGCTCCTTCCCCTAAACACATAACTGTGTTCAAGCATCTTTCCTGCTTAAAAACCTCTCTGTTTGGCTGTTTCTCCTCTCTCGCACTTTACCCCTGGCCACCTCAGGCTAGGCGTCCACAGTCCGCCTTCCAAGTCATCCCGTCTCAGACCTGCCTCCATCAAACATTCTCGGGCCTCCTCCCCACGCTGCTGAAACTGATCCTGAGAGCAACCTTTGGGGATCCTACTTAACAAATCCGGTGGTTGTAAGTGGTGCAGCTTCATTCTCCAACCTACGTGACATCTTTGAAGGCCTCCACACCTCCCCTTGGAAGACCTCTTCCCTGAGACCCACCAGCTCCACTTTCCTCCAACTCTCCTCCTACTTCTCTCACTGTTCCATCTTCCTGTACTTCTCTCCTTTGCTTTGCTGTTTCCCAGAACAGAATCCTCACCATTTATCTTTTCTAACACTCATTCCCTGGAAGCCTATGGCTTCAACTATCACCTTGAAGCCTGTCTCGATCCTCTTCTACCACCATGAACCATAGTTCCAAGTTTCTGCTCAGTATCTTCCTCCCTCTGGGTGGTCCCACTGGAAACTCCAAATTTAACATAGCCTAAACCGTCTTCACCCACCAAATCCCCCAGTTTAGGTTAGAGATCTTGCCATCACCCGACTTCTTATCCCAATCAAGTACCAAGTTCTGTCAATGGTTAAGTTTCAGCAGTCCTTTCTTAATCAAGCAGAACCCTGCTACCCTAGTTCAGGCCTACCTGGATCACTGCCGTCACCTAAAACTTAAGTGCCTACCTCCGGGCACAACTTCATCCAAACACAGTCTTCCCAACAGTCAGTTTTCTCTAAATACAAACTGCATCTAGTAACCCCTTGTTTAAAGACTCATTGGCTCTCAGTCTATGGCAGAAAGCCATCATCACAGATATTAACTGAACATGAGAACTGGCAGGAACAGAGGGACTGGAGGAGGAGGGAGAGGACAGCCCAGACAGAGGGGGCTCTGTGGGCTAGTGCCAGAGAGCCAAGGCACATGTGAGAAAGGGTCATGTGCCCAGTCAGATGGGCACCAAGAAATTTCCATACAGAAGTAATAGGAGGCTGAAGTCAGGTTTACTTTTTTTTGGTGAGGAAGACTTGTCCTGAGCTAACATCTGTGCCAATCTTCCTCTTTTTTTGTATGTAGGATGCCGCCACAGCATGGCTTGATGAGCAGTGCATAGGTCTGCAACCAGGATCCAAACCCATGAACCCCAGGC